AAAAAAAGGAAAACAAAGCCTTGGAAAATAAGTTTAATGAGAGAGGAAAAAATTAAATTGCAGCCTTGGTCTACACTCTTTTATAGGGGAAAACTAACTCCCACTGGTGTCTGTGTGAAAATTTCATTTCCAAATTAAGTTTTTAGTTATTTTTCCAAGCCAAGTTTCACAGCTCATCAATCCCCCCGGCCAACTTGCTTATGAAAGATGCTCTCATTGGCAATGCCATTTCCCTGGGAAAACTTGATTTCACATGCAGGCGGAGAGTGTTATATACCTCTAGGACCCCCGGCATTGTCCTTGCCACACTCTGGACTGGACACTCCAGTACTCGGTCTGAGATTTGGCAGGAATATTAAGTCAAGCCGAGTGAATATTGCAGCCATGACCTGGGCAATGGGATTTTTTTTTTGTTGTGCTCTCCCCAGAAGTGGCTCTTCCGTTTCCGTTTCCGCTTTTCTTTATTTTTTCACCAGGACTTGTTGTTTATAAACAAGAAGCTTTGGTCCAGGCCACTTAAACACGCCATAATTGTTGAATATTTTTTTCAGAACATTCCCAGAAATAAATTAAGGACACCCAAGAATCTCGTCCTGCATTCCCGCCACATGTTGCAGGTTTATTTTGCAAAAAAAAAAAAAAGGTGCAAAAAGTAGCTGAGAAATCACCCCTCATTTGTATTCCTTTTATTTCCTCAAGATGCCACGCCCACACCCATTAATTCAGCTCAAAGTATTTTCCATTTGCGGCGCCACAAAAAGAAAAATTACTTACATGCCCCAAGGGGGTGTGGGTGTGGGTGTGGGTGTGGGTGGTGTGCCTGAGGTTTTAAATAACATTTTAATTTTTTTGTTGCCAGCTTTTAAGTCTTAATCATGACAAATATGCTGGGCTTTGCAGGATCAATTAAGAGTGAGAAAAAAAACCTGATGATTTCCATTAACATTTACACTTTACCTTTCCGTAAAAAACAATGTTTTATTGCTATTTTTTGTATTGTGAGTTTTAAATAATTGAAAATCAATAGATAAAACTTAACTTAACTTGACTTTATTATACAACATTTAACTCTTATTAAGTTTTAACTTTTCCCGTCGAAACTTTAAGCTTAAAAAATCTAGACTTCAGGCTATCCTTGGCTTTAGTTTTTTACTTTGTTCCATTTATGTTGGCCCCGTTAGCTGTTTGCATGCTCATTACAGCCAAAAGATGTTGCAGTTTTATTTTTCTTCAAACCCTTACCCCCCCTTTTGCCTAATTAATGGCCCTCTCTGATTTCTGTTACCAAGAAACAAAAAGGAGAAAACCTAGCATCCAGCCAGGCAAAGCGGCGACAAATGGCAAAAACAAGGCTTAGCCACGTTGGATAAAATTCAATTAATCATTAATTTGCTGAGCTGTCAGCGGCCAGGATATCTCGACAGCTGGACAGCTGAAGAGCTGGATGCCAGTGGGGTGTCCCTACCCCCCCACAAGTCAGGGTTCAAGGCCAAGGCAACAAGTGCAGTCTGGTCTAGGGGAGCTCTTACTCTCCTACTTTTCTACTTTCTTGATATCAGCGGGTATCCTTTGAAAGCTGAGCTATAATTAAGTGAAAAAAAACATCACTTAGAGCCTTTTTTATAAATTTTTTTTGTTTTACTTTGAATTATTTTTATTATTAAGTTTTGAGTATTTCTAGCTTTTTCTTATTAATTTTATAAAACTCCTTCCTACTCCTTCTACCTTTTTCTTATTATTTTTATAAACCTTTCTGCATCTTCCCTACTTCTTTTACACATTTTTCAAATATTTTTCAAACCTCCTTCACTTCTCTCTCTCTAAAAATACATAAAAAGCCCTCTTCTATAAATATAAACTTGTAAAAAATGTATAAAAATATAAAAAGCCAGAGGCATAAATGCTAATTGCTCTTCAGGTTTTGACCTTTTTTTTTCTTGCTTTCTGGAAAGCAAAGGTGAACCCCACTTGGAGAAAGAACCCTCTTTTGAGGCGGACCCCTTTCTTAGGGGTTCCTTGAAGCTAAAGCAGCTTGCCTTCTTGGTTCTTCCAATTAAAATGAAGCACTTTTCAAACTACTAAATTGATCTTGGCCTGAATATGCATAGGTAATTGCAATTACCAACAAATGCTCGCCACAAATGCAACATAATTGCAGTCATAAATCAGCGAGAGAACTAGAACTTGGTCAGGAGGCTGCAGAATCCGCTGCTGCACCTAAACGTGGGTGACGATGATGATGGCCATAAATTGAGGCGACAGCCTGGCCAGCGCCACCAGCGTTGACATTTACAGATTTATGAGCAAGACGAGAGATGCCATGCAACAGATGCGGGAGAGCGTGGGCTTCTTGGAGTTGTGGAAGATGGAGGCGGAGGCGAAGACCAGGACTTGGCTTCCAAGACAACGCCAAGTGTTTGCCCAACAAATTGGCATGTGCGTATGTGTGTGTTTACTTGTTTGCCCGCCATTGTTATTATGTTGTTAATAAGTTAGTGCGAGGGCGTTTTGGCACAACTCCGCCCAAGGATGAAGGCCTGGCACATGTGCCCCCTCACCACCCGCTATGAGCAGCAGCAGTTCCGGCAGCCCCCGAAAACAAACTTGCAGCTAGACAAACAACATTACCCGCGCAGGAAACGGAAATAAGTCATAAAAGTGCAAGGAGAGAAGGGAGGGAGTGGGAGAAGGTGAAGAAGAGGGTTTAGGAAGAGCAGCAGAAGGAAGAGCAGCAGGAGGAAGAGCAGGAGGAGGAGCAGCAGCAGGAGGAGGAGTAGCAGCAGCAGGAGGAGGAGCAGCAGCAGGAGGAGCAGCAGCAGCAAGAGCACGACGTGGCACAATGAAAAAACGCGACGTGACGCTGCATAGCGGAATGATTTTTGCAATATTGCCATGTTTAACATCAATTCCGCGTTGCTTAGAATCGGGAATTAAGTGCTCCAAGCTCCTTCTCCTTCTTCTTCTTTACCGGATCTTTTAGGATCGATTATGGATGCCGCTCTGTGTGCATATGGAAATTTGTTTTAAAAGAAGCCAAAGCAGCAGCATAAACGTTGTCCTTGGCTCTCCACCAAGATGCTCTTCTCATCACCGCTTCGAGGACATTGGCGCTCATAAGCGAAGCTCGAATAATTAGAATGTCATTGCGAATGCACTTTGATTAAATAAGCAAATTAATGCCAGGTCCAAAAAGTCCACCCATCAAAGCCATCACACTTCCACCTTCACCTGGGGCTTCTTTTCGGAACTGGAACTAAATGAAGTGCCCGAAGCCCGGATGCGGATGCCTGATATGCTGATGAGCAGTTTGTGACAGTTGTCAGGTGTCAGCTCATAGGACAATGCACTTAGAGAAAAATATTTGTTAAATGAGGTTTTTGTTAAAAAAATATATATATAAATATATAAAAAAAATATATAAATATATAAAAAAAATATATAAGTATATAAAAAATATATATAAATATATAAAAAAAATATATAAATATATAAAAAAAATATATAAATATATAAAAAAAATATATAAATATATAAAAAAATATATAAGTATATAAAAAAATATATAAAATAAAAATATATATATAATGAATAAAATATACTTAAAAATATATATATTTAAAATATTTATATAAAAAACATATATTTAATATATAAAATATATAAACTTTTCCTTTTAGTTCAAATAGAATATATTTTCTTGGGTATAGAAATATGAAATATAAAATCTAAACTTAAATTATATATTTTAAAATATAACATTTATATAACAAATATATAAAAAATAGATAAACCTTTCCTTTTAGTTAATTAACAATATACTTTCTTTGACATAGAACAGAGAATATATTCCTAATAATTATAACGGAATCAAGAGGAGCTTATAACGGGAATTTTTGTAAGGTAATATAACACCAAGATGCATACCGCCTTAAGATTTTTCTAAGCCAAAAACATAGCTCTATTTTTCGATTTTTATGCTCTCAATTTTGTGCTCAAATTTCTTAGCTAGAAATATAAAATTATAAGCCTTATATTATTCTTATTTATAATCTTTTTATTTAAACTCCCCTTAGACTTTTCTCTCTGTGTGACCAGACGGCTCCATCAGAGATATTTCGATCACCGGTCCGGTTCGGTTCGGTTCGGTCCGGTCCCTTATCCTAACTGGAGGACACAATTAATGTCCGCCAGGCGTGCCATTTCTATCAGCCGGACGCCGAGGCTCCTCCCGGGTCGAGCCCTTGAGTTTAAATGCTTTTTAAAGAGCGAGAGAAGCGGCGTGGATGAAATGTGAAAAGGGTGTATAGGGGGGCGGGTATGTACGAGCATATTTAATCTTTTGAACCCTCGAGGAACCCAAAACGACAGTCGTTAGTTGGGTACTCATGCTCGTCCTCGTTGGCGAAGGATATGAGTTGCGGGCTGCGGGAGGTTGTTGCTCAGCGTCATAAAAATACAAGTACGTCGGGCGACAAATAGTATGTGAAGTGGCCCAAGGATGCTGTGCAGGACTCGTTTAGTGTGTATGTAATGCTCCCAAAAAGAAATATGATTTAAGCCATAAATAAGCGCGGAAATTGTGCGTAAAATCGATGGGAAAACAGTTTCCGTAAGTGAGAAAAACCGATGTGCATAAGCGTGCAATCAAAAATACTTAGTATGGTCCAGGAAGGGTCTAGGCTACAGGTTCCAGACACCCAGCAACTCCTAGGAATCCCCCCTAGTCTGTTTCTGACGGCAAAAGTCTATTAAATTTCGGTTAGCCGAAAGTTTTCCTAAGCTTTTCCGTGGAAAGGCGCCGCCACAGACGTGTGCAAACTTCACTTCAAGTTGTCCTGACAGGCGAAGAGCAGAGGTCCCGCCGGGACACGTGTTATGAATATGCACAGAGCGAAAATAGTAGGGGAAACGTAGTAAATATTTATACTTTCTTAAAATAACAATAAACCCATTTTTAATTATTTACAAATATTTTTGTTATTTTTTTCAGAATTTACAAATGTTTGGTGTATTTTTGTGTTACTTTTTAATTTTGCAAAATTCTCTACGATTTCTGGATCCTCCTTTAGTACCCTCTTCTCTCCCTGGCCAGGCGCTGCTGCTGCTGTTGGCGCAAGCGACGCTGGAAGTATTGCTGTGACACCACCTGGACGGAGGCCAGGAACTGGTCCATGCAGGCGGCCAGGCAGTCGCGTTCCATGGAGCACAGCTTGTCCTCCGGCTGGACAATGCAGGCACTAAAGCAGCGGCGAGAGATCTTCTGGAGCAGCTCCTGGATGTTGGCCAGCACGATCTGCTGGCGAACTCGCTCCAAATTCTGATTCAAAACCATTTTTCAAGGAACAAGGACACTGACACGGACTAGGACTTGGAATGTATCTTTTGTGTGCGTCTTCTTTTTAAGCTTAAACTACGAGATAACCTGACACTTAAGGAGATGCCTACTCACCCTGTGCAAACTGGATGAGCTTGCAGAGCAGCTCACCGAAGATAAAGTGACGGAGCAGGGTGCCCACCAGGGTTACCGGCATGCAGAAGACGCCCAACAAGATGTCCGAAATGGCCAGATTGAGCAGAAACACATTGGTGATCGTTCGCATGCGACGATTCTGAACCAGGGTGAGCACCACCAGCAGATTGCCCACGACGGCGCATAGAAGGATGGCCGAGTAGCAGGGCACCACCCAGATGGGGACATCGGCGCTGACACGTGCCCCTGTTCTATTCCGCGGCGTTGGAGCTACGGTGCTGGTACGGAATCCATCCGGATTCGAAACCATTTCGGGCAGCACAACATCTGCCAGGCCGGAGGTGTCAGCCGCCAGGTCCAACTCCACGCCGGTGTAGTTGAACAGATCGGCCAGATTCACCTCCAGGCCACCGGGTAGCTCCTGGCTGCCATTGAGTCGGATCACTGCATCCGTGGCCAGCGGCAGGGCCTGGCGCAGGATGCGCTGCAGGGTGTCAATCGTGAGGCCGATTGGGTTCCTTATCTCGCTCTCGCTCTCGCTCTCTCTCTCTCTGGGCTCTCTCGGTCTCTGCTTCGATCTGCGGAGGAGTTGACTCTTCTTTGGCACTCGCGGCACTTCGTGGAACACACGCAACAAAAATAAAGGAGAAGCGCGAGCACGGAGACGCGTTCCGCGTTGTGTGTGTGGCGCCTCGCAATCCTCGCGAAGCACTAAACACACTCGGCTTCCAAGACCTGCGAGGTCCTGCGGCCAACAGCCGGCGCCAAAGCTGGCGCAACATGCTGCCAAGCAGCTGGAGCCCAACTCACCACGGTGGCAACATGTTGCCAAAAGGGGACTTGTTGATGGTTTTGCAGGGGCATTTAAAGATAAGGATCAAGAACTCTGTCAAGTTTTAGTTTTTTTTTAAAGAGAGATTAAAAATATATAATATATTAATATATTAAAATATATATTAGTTTAGCCCTCCCGAAAAACTTTTCCCGCATCCCCTTGATAATTTTTCTAGACCCTATCGCTGCAACTTTTTATAAATATTATTAACTTATATTAAATTATTATATTAAATGACACAACCCTTTCAGAATGTATCTAATATCCCACCCCTCAATTCCTAGAAGTAACGAATTTAAAGCATTTTTATAATATTAGTTTCAAGTTTTTTTTGTGGCCGCTGCTACGGCAGCTTTATGTTCATATGTACATATATATAGGATAATAGTCTTGGCTTGGACTTACCCGCCTTGAAGGACACTCAGTTACCCTTCATCGCCCCCATCGCAGGCTTGTTAAAATTTATCGTTGATTTATTCCTTTAATTCCAGAGATTTTTTTAGGTTTTTTTTACGATTATAAGACGAACTTGCACTTTTCCGGCGAAGAGACACTTTTCCGCTGGTCATCCAAATGGGTAGGGATGCACCGGTGTTGGTTGAACTTAAGGGGTGGCGCATACAGATTGCGATTCATCGATGATCCACTCCTTAGATTACAGAGATATTCTTGGTGCTTTTTCCACGATTATTGTTATTACTTGCACAATTCCAGCAAGTTGGTACTTTTCCGCTGGTCATCCAGATGGGTTGGGATGCACACGTCACAGGTAAACGCGAGGGAGGCGCGCACACGTGTTACTCGGGGCGAGGGGCGCGCACATACTGAAGCTGCGGCGGGAGAGGGGCCTATATTTATAGATAGCAGGGGAGAGAGAGGTTGATCGAGAGTGAGAGTGAGAGTGAGAGGGAGAGGGAGAGGGAGAGGGAGAGTGAGCTTATCAGCGAGCTGATAAATTCAGAGAAATTATGAGAGTGTATGTATGAGAGTGTATGTACATGTATGCATGTATGTATGTATGTATGAATGTAAGTTCATGTATGAGGATGCATGCATAAGAGTGCATGCAAGAGAGTGCATGTATGAGAGTGCGCACACTGAGAGCTGAGTTGACTTGACAAATTTGCTCTGAAATTATCAGCTCGCTTATAAGCTTGACTCTCACTCTCAGCTCAGCTCTCAGCCAGACCGGCCTAACTCTATCTACCTCTCCCTTACTCGATCTACCTCTCCCTCTCACTCTCGATCAAACTCTCTCCCTCTCACTCTTGATCTACCTCTCTCTCTCTCTCTCTCTCTCTCTCTGGCTAGCTATATAGATAGACGCCCCTCTGCCCCCGCAGCCTCAGCGCCACCCCTCGTCTCATCACGTGAGCACCTTAACCCCTCTGAATTACACCCGGAAAAGTGTTGTTGTTTCTCCGGAAATGTGCAAATTCTTATTAAAATAAAGCTTTTCTATTTTAAATGTATACATATATGTATTCTGATCGATAACAAGGTCTTGTTTGATTTTTTTTTTTGTAATTTAAAACTAGCTTTTCGACATTAATTTATTATTTAATTTAAAACTAGTTTTCCTGGTTGTTTGATTAATTTTATTAATTGAAAACCTTCAAACTACTTCTTATCGAATTCAAGTGTAACCAATGGGATTCCTTTGTTTGGGGCCTCGTTTGGCCCATCAACATTATCATTAGCATACATTTCGGGGCCAAGGCAATGATTAAGCCCTGCCATGTTTGCAGGCTGAAAATCATTTGCATTTGTCTCCCATGGGAACTTTATACAATCAGAGCGACAGAGCAGCGCAAGGAAAAAGGATGAAGGGAAAGTGAAAGTGAAAGAAAAAGGGAGCCCCGGGTAAGGTAGGACGACCACATTTGTCAACTTAATTAGCAAGCACCTCCGGCACCTTTGTCGACTTCCCACCTGCTTACACCTTTTGGCTCATTATTTAAAGACTCTGCCGCCGTTTATTTGCCGCCCGAAGTGACTTTATAAATCACTCAACGCCACTCGAAACCCGAGCCGGAAAGTGAAGCTGGAGCTGGGTCCGTGAGTTTGTGGCCACAACAGGTTGCTGCTGGGTTAGGGTATCTCTTGAAATTTATACAAATTCCAGTTCAAATCTTTCAAAGAACTTGAAGTAGTGATCATTTCCAGCAGCAACTCGAAATGCTTTCGGGGTTTACATTTCTCCCGAAATTGATTAATTCAATTTGACTCCAGCGAAAGACAAACTTTCGGCGGGCCTATAAATAATGCTGCAGCATTAATTAAAGTTGCCGGGAATCGCTGATACGGAGGAGGAAGTGGGTAAGAGCGGACATGGTTGTCCTGGGTCGTCGTCGTCGTCCATTTAATTATTTACTTTCGGGCTTTAATTAATTTTAATTATTGTATTTGCATTTGTTATGGCTCAGTTGTTGTTTTAAACTTTTTTGCGGAGGCAGCTCGCCGCGATTAATGCAATTCAGGCAGCCCGAAAATAATGTTAATGGGGGAGGCGGCCTTTCCACGGGATATAAATACAGCTAAAAGCTATAGATACAGATACAAAAACAGCTACAGCTATAGATACAGATACAAAAACAGCTACAGCTATAGATACAGATACAGATAGGACAACAGTTACCGTTACTGATACTGTTAATGATTCGGATTCCACTAACACCGAACAGCAACAGATAGCGAATACTACTACTGTGTGAATGCATAATGAGGGTGAAATACTTCTGAATAATGAATTAATCGCCCATTTCAGGTGCTCGTTCCCGCGAAACATTTATTACCTCCAGCAGAGGAGCTCCATTTCATCTCCTTTCCTTTGTACACTTGAAGGTCATCCATGGGGGAGTAAGTTGATGCGCGGGACAGCAAACTTTCTTTTTTCGGCATCATGTCAAAGCAGTCGAACTTTTTCACCTGGACACCAAGGTCACTACTAAGTAAGTCCAAGTTTTAAGTCCAACATTAACAATAGGAACCGGGCCAAGTTTACCCTTTTCCTGGCTGCTTAAGTGCAACAGTGATGGCTGCTTGGAGGTTTAAGGAAGGAGATTGCCATATTTATTCAATTTAATATTCATTTAAACAAAATAAAACTCACAAAAGTAATTAAATTTAATATTTATTTCAAACTATTAATAAATTCTATAGAGAAATCTTTGTTTTTTGTATTCTTTCAACCGCTGGCAGCACTTTTGAAAAGTCGAAAGTAAAAAGTGAGAGTTGAAACGGGTTCGAATTACGTGGAAAAGGAGCCCAAAGGAACGCGACCATAATTAGACGCAAGCCGACATTAAAGATGCCCGAGGTGAAATGCCACTGGTGCCAGGAGGAGGAGGAGGAGGAGAAGATGATGGAGCCAGCTGGGGGCCAGGGAGCAGCATGGTTTCAATTGCGGCCGCAGTGCTGTGGGCATGACATCTGCGTCTCTGTCTGCTTATGCTCAGCATCACAATCAGCATTAGGGACATGCAGCCGGCTTAGGGACGCGCCAAAGGACTAGGACTAGGACTGGACACGGACACGGTCGCCCAGGAAGAGCGAGATAATTATGGCAAATGCTTTGGATTTTGCCAGGGCACAAATGGATATTACATTTTTGCTGCTGCTGTTGCTCCTGGCGAGGTCCTTTGAGGCTAATGTAGCGCACATCTGCGGCCAAGCGGGGGGGACTTGGGGTTTAAGGTTTAAGGTTTTTTTTTTTGTGCTTAGAGGTGGACAGACCCACGTTAATGATATGGCATTTTCATTTCATTTGCTGGCACTCTGAATAAATATCATTAGGCAGTTAATTTTATATTTGCGCTGGCAAAGTAATTAGCCATCTCTAGTCTCCTCTGTCTTGACCCAAGTCAATATCTTCTGGAAAAGTAAGTGCTCAAAGTGCCCTCGGTACAGGTCCTGGTATCAGGGTACCCACCAACCTTTTGGTTTATTGACTTGGGCCAGAATCCTTTTTGGCTTTCACTCGAAATTCCTTCTTAACACTTTTATTTGTCTTGGCCCATTGTTGTGTTGTTTTTCTTGCTGCCATATTTTACGAGCTCTGTGCTTCTGTTTCAGTTAATGCTGTTGCTGGAAACTCGAATTACGCTGAAAAAGGAGCAATCTCTTGGACTCTTTAGACTCCTTGCTCCCTGCTCCCTGCTCCTTGGGCGGCATTATAGCGCTAAATACATAAATCGAGTCAAGCTTGGCTGAAAAACAAAAAGGCCCAGGCAAATCCGCTCTTGGGGAAATTCCATGGAGAGGAAAATCCACTCACTTAGCCAGTTAATTAACTGAGTTGCTGCCCAGCGATTGATTTCAGGCTAATACTACTACTAACCAGGTCCTTCCTGGGAATGCCTATGCAAATACCTGTTGTTGGTTGGTGGCTCTGTTTGATTCCAATCAATGATTGTCGACGAACAGGATATGCTTAATAATTCAAGGCCACAAGTTACAGAGGCTATCAGAGGTTACTGGCCTCCGATAGATATTAATTGAGCAATCAGGATGCTTGGCTCTGTCAATCAGAGACTCTTGGTTTGGTCTTGGTTTCATCTTGCTATATAAATTGGGCCGTCTTTTGACCCACTCGATTGCCCCAAAAATGTCTATAAATAATCAGGGGGGGCAGCCTGTTGGCAAAAGGTATTAAGACTGTGCGACATGGCGATGCCATTTGTAAACTGTTTTCTTTTTCTCAGGATTTATTTTTGGCAGGCCAAGGTAAATGTTGGTCCAGTCTCTGGTATTATTTTTGCCTCTGCCATTTGTTGTTTACTGTTTTGCTGCCTTGCTGTTTTGCCAGAGTTTTGCGGTGGAATGATTAATATTTGTGCACGCCCCCTGAACGAACGAATGAGCCAGAGGAAATCAGGCGGGAGCCATAACCATTGCCCATTCTAATTCGGTTTCGGTTTCGGTTTCGGCTTCAGATTCGGATTCCTCTATTCCAATTCCAAGTCCAGCAGCAGCAGCAGCAGCATCAGCTCCCCCACTTGTTAGGCCTGGCACGTCTGCTGGTGGTGGCCTACATCCCTCATCTAACTTTCAACATCCCATAGCCTATATAGACCTACATATATAGCCCAGTGTGTGTGGAAGGCACACACGCACTCTGTTTTCGCAGCGAGCCCTTTAAATTGACGTTACGCATCCGCCCTGTTGGCCAACACGCACTGAAATCTTTATGAATGGCAGCACGAACAGTGGAGAGCAGAGAATACTAAGGAAATATTAATTTTTATTCAATAAATATAAATATATAAATAAATAAATTTGTATATTACAAATAAATCATGGCTTAACACTAAAATTCCCAACTAGTTCTAGCATTTTGAGAGTGGTAACCCAGCTGAATGTTGATATTTGAGAGAGAGATAGAGACAAGGAACAGATATCTATGGAGAGAGTTTGAGTTTACAGAGAAATCAAGGAGATTGATCAATCAGAGGATATAATATAATTCGATTTTGTCATGGTTAAAGCCTCAACAAGGCCCTAGTTAACTTGCTTTTCATCCTAATCTGGCCCACTGTCCCTCACAGTTCATGTGTGATGGCAGTCATTTGCATTTCGCTTTCATATTTTGCTAAAAAATTACAATGTGTGCGACATGTGGCTGAAATAAATCAAAGCGGGGTCCCCGGACCACAAAAGGCACAACCGCCCGCTTCGGCAGAAGGGCCAAATTATGCGATGCTCTGATTTGTTGCCATTAGCTTGACGCTTGAAGCTTGAGGCCTGAGGCTTGAAGAGCCTGCCCAAGCAAATGTCATAAATTCCGGGCTCAAAATTAATGAAAAAGCTGGCAATTTATGTGAGCGAAGGCCACGTGGAGAACGGGGGAAACCCCTGAAGCCTGGGGCCTTCGATTCGATACAGTGCCATGTTGTGTTGTGTTGTGCTGTTCTACCCACCGAGCCAGGGGAGCTGCAAAAGGCAAAGGCCCACTCAGGTGTCACCGGAGAAATGACAGCTCATCAAAAGCCCACCCACCCACCACCCACTTGGAGCACCGAAAAGCAAACAAACAACAGCCATTTACGCGTGTCATCGAAGGGTGCTTTGATTCTAATTTTGATTGATGACAGTGGCGAGTTATAGTCATCCCCAGGCTCTGGGATGTTCCCAGTTCTAGGTATCCAGGTTCCAGTCAGTGGAGCTGTCATGCCAAGGTGTCGCCAACTGGTAACTGAAACCCATGGTTACACTTTAGAGTCATTGTGGCAAGCGAATAATAAAATAATATTTAATTATGTAAGCCAGTCTACAAATCTAGAAAAATAATTAAAACAAATACAAAACAAACTTCCAAAATCTATAATAACTTCCGCAAGGATTTGTCTAACCTGAAATCCAAAAAAAAAAGTAGGAAATCAAGTCAAAACCAGTCGGAAAACGTGCTTAGGAAAAGCACAAAGAAGCAAGGAGGAACCTCAAAGATGTGAAGGTGCCAAGGAGCTCTCAGTGGAGGCCGCTTGCTCGCTAATGCGATTAGTGTAGGAGTGCTGGCAGCGCATTTGCCAAGGAATTGTGGAAAACGTTTAGTCGGAGTCGTTGACAAGAGGTAGAGGAGGATGAAGGCAGAGGAGCCAGGAGCCAGGAGCCAGAGAAGGCTGAAGCAAGGAGCTAGGAGACAGAGAATGCAGAAGCCAGAGGAGGGAGGAGCCAGAGGAGGGAAGAGCCAGAGGAGGCAGGAGCCAGAGCAGGCAGGAGCTAGAGGCGTCAGGAGCCAGACGAAGCAGGAGGCAGGAACCAGGAGCCAGAAGCCAGAAGAAGCAGGAGGTAGGAGCCATGATCCAGAGAATCCACCATCCAGGAGACACTTCCCCCCGTAACGGGAATAACCCACCTGTGCCAGGCCCCTCAAAGTGCATTTCAATTTCCCTCTGCGTGTTGACACGCGCCGCCATTGTTGATATCCTTGCCACACAGGACTTGTACGGGGGAAGCTGCTGCAGCTGTCGCTGGCACTGCATCCCCTCCGCTCTCTCTCTCCCTCTCCCTCTCCCCCTTCCGGTTTTTGTTTGTGATTCGATTCATAACTTTTTCATCTTGGCTAATAATAAAGCCGGTCGACAGCAGCCTCAGCTCAGCTCTCAGCTCTTAACTCTCAGCTGGGACAAAAAATAACAGAAGGCGAAAGGCACTGTCCTCGTTATCCGCGTTATCGTTGTCATTATCCCGAAAAATGCGGGCCACTCTTTCCGTACAAAAGTTTGCTTCTTCCGGAATGGGTAAATGCGATGGAAGCTGGTCTACTAAGAGGTGGTGCCTCCTCCTTCTCCTGCTCCTCCTCCTCCTCCTGCTCCTCCTGCTCCTCCTCCTCCTCCTTTTCCAGCTTCCTTTACCAAGCGCGTGGAGCAAACAATGGCTGGTTTGGCGGCTCGAAACTCAAGTGCAATATTTGGCAACATTAAATTAATGTATGTACATAAAGAGCGAAATAAAACTTTGACCAAGTCGTACTCCTCCTCCGCCTCCTCCTCCTCCTTCGCCTGCACTCCTTGTACTTATCAATGTTTAAACAGAGCTGCATAAGCAGGCCATAAAAGCCAAGACCCAAGCTGTACACCGGAAAGCAGCCAGAGGTGACTTTAATAGGTAATAGGAGAAGGTATTATAGGTTAATCCCGGAAAGAACTCAAGCTGCAAAAGAGAGGATTTCAATATGAAATGGTTTTGGAAACAGGGAAACCTTCTTTCAGTTTTTTGAAATGAAAATTTGGGGATTATTATTGATTTTTAATTATTATTTTTTAAATTACTCAAACTTTTATATAAAAATTGTAGAAAAAAATATTATTCTCAAACATTTTCATTAAATTTTAATAAGAATTAAATTAAATAATACAATAAATAAGTGAAATATAAATTGGGGCAGATTTCTTATTTTTTTA